TATGCACCTCTTATGCAAGTATATACTCAAAAAATGACAAAGTTCAACTATCTCCCAAAAGAGCAAATATCAATAAAAATCAAAACCCCGACTACATGCACACCTTCAATATATGTACAAACAGCCAGCAAAGTGAAAACTTCCTGGCATTCAAACTGTAGGAGGAGTTGTGTGGAATACCTATGCACCTCTTATGCAAGTATATACTCCAAAAATGGCAAAGTTCAACTATCTCCCAACAGGGCAAATATCAATAAAAATCAAAACCCTGACCACATGCACACCCTCAATATATGTACAAGCAGCCAGCAAAGTGAAAACTTCCTAACATTCAAACTGTAGGAGGAGTTGTGTGGAATAGTTATAGACCTATAATGCGACGGACGGACGGAAAGACAGAAGGACGGACGGAAAGATAGACGGACAGGGGTAAAACAATATACCCCCCAACTTTCAGTTGCGGGTGCATAAAAAAAACATGTTTTATTAGAATGCCCAGAATATGCAGATTTTTAGCAGTTTATGTGAACTAGAATTTAGTTTTAAAGATATGTCTAATTATGGCAAGCCGTTCTCGTCAAAACTATATATGTTTAAACCATTTTTCGAAAAATTTACACTCTGAGAATTAAAAAAAAACACTCTGAGATTAAAAAACCTAAAAACACACACTGAGAATTAAGAATTACACACTGAGATTTCATAAAAACGCACTGAGATTACAAAAACTGAAAAATACACACTGAGAATTGAAAATTACACAATGAGATTTCAAAGATACACACTGAGATGAAATAAACTGAAAAACACACACTGAGAATTTGAAATTACAAACTGAGAATTTAAAATTACACACTGTGATTTATGCGCACTTTTTATGCGCACATATCTAATTAGCATACCTAATCTGTATCTATTACAAGCTTAAAACAACTAGAGGACAGAACTTGTTAGTCCTTCAATTTGGAGCTAAATGTTTTATAAAAAAACATTAAAAATACAACGTATAGAAAAACTACGTTATTAAAGACCAATAGAACAAAAAAATGCCCACTTACTCTCATTACAAAATATAACCAAATGGTGAAAAACTTTATCAAAATTATAAGAAAACATTGGAACAATCTGCAAAAATACAAACAATGCAGTGATTGTTTTTCCAAGTGCCTATAATAGCATATAAACGTACAAAAATATAAAAGATTACCTTGCAAAAAAAGAAGTGCACCACTATATGATTTTTTCTTCACCAATTATTTTTTTATAGTCATATAAACCCCCAAAATCAAGTAAAGAAAAAAAGTTTAATTCTAGAAAGTACCCAATTTTGATACTTTTTCCATTTTTCATCAATTTTTACCCATTTTTGGGCTATTATCATGAAAAAAATCACAGTTTCACAATTAAACTTTTTTTCATACTTTCACTAATGATGAAGTGGACCAACCTGAATAAATTTAAATTAAAAAAACTATAGGTAGGTGTTAATATAAAAAAGTTCTATAAAATGTTGTTGCTTTTTCGTGTCAAATTTACCATGTTGTCAATTTTGTAAATTTGGGATTTTTCTCTTTTTTTGAACAAAAAGCATATTATTTCAACTTCTTCGTCATAAATGATTGAAAAAATACAAATCTAAGAAATTTGAAAAGAAAAAATTGATATGGGATGTACATGTATCTGGTAAAATCATTTCTTATACCCCTCGCCCATTTTCTCAACATTTTGGCTAATGAGACTGACTTGATTGGTTATAAAATTTGAAAATTTTATTACTCAAAAACTACTTATTGTAAATACACAATTTTTTCACAGAGTTAAGTTTGATCATAATACTTTTTAAATTCATTGATATTTTCCACTTGTATCACATGTTTTGGAAATAATTCCAGAACGAGATTTCAACGAGACTGAAACGTCAGAAGAATACATCCTTAAAATATAGACCTCTGATTTCGTTATCCTCATAAGTTATATGTACGAGCAGGCGAGTTAATACAGGTCTGAATTTTAATCGGAATGTGCGTGTGTACAAGTTAATATTGTATCTAAAACTTATAGATGTGCATAAGTCCATTCTCAATTTTATTATAGCTATACATCTATGCTTAAATGACCAGTCTCAACTTTCTCATGAGATCATTCTATTAACAACTATTGTTTAATTTATACCAAACCTCGCTTTATGTTTCTGCTTATTTTCATATATTTATCCATGTTAGCATACAAAGACGCTTAACAGCAACCAGAAAACACAATAAATTCAGAGAAGCTTTCGAATGGACAGCACAGCATTAGACAAGTTTCCAAACAAACGTCTATTATAACTAGGACTCTAGATTTGTTTTTAATGATATAAGAAAGGTTTTTTTTATAATGAATTTGCTTTATTGTGATTAAAATAGGCTGCCACAACATGTATGAACAAAGGTTTACAGAATGACATATTAACAGAAAGGTAATTTTAGATCAAAACAGCAATGGAATATATCATTAGGTTAAACATATAAATTGTTAGCATTTAATCGAAGAGAGAATCTTATTTCGTTCCTGGATATATTTGTGGTGTTTAAATCATTCCAAATAAAAAACAAAACAAAACGAAACAAAACAAACAAAACAAAACGACAAGCCATAATTTATTATTCAGTCTATAATGGGGAACCAGTGGCTCCAGCATTTGTTATATTCATTTTCATAAAGGTATTTAAGTGACATGTATTTTTCTAAGTTCAAATTTTCCTTTAAATGATTTTTACATCGCGATGACCTTGAGGTCAATCCGATGTATTGCTATCGCCTAGATTTCCATTATGTAAATTAGTTTTGGGTTTGTAACCGATCTATAAACATGATAAATATGCGCACATAAACGAGTGCAAAATAACATTCCTTATCGTTTGATATAAATACATCTCTTCAATGAATACCGATAAAAATATTTTTGTTTACAACATAAATTAATAATATGAAAATGTTTTGTAGTTAGATATATATATATAAGTAAAAAATCATTGATAATATCAATGCACACGTACCGAAAAATTGTGTTAAAGCATGCGGAAGAATATCTCAAAGAACGTTTTGTGAAAATACCGTCAAGGACCGGTAACTCTGTAATTGTTTTTGCGGGAAAATATGAATGCCTACTCGTATCCAATCTTAGAAAAATCGAATTTTTACAGAAAAGTGTCCACCATGCACTTGCATTGCACTATTTTTAGAATAGTAGAAAAGAATGATATACAAATGGATTCAAATCATATATATATGTAACTGTTATTTTAATATAATATAAACAACAAATCAGTGTATACTGATTTGTATCACTACAATATAATAGTTATTACGGTGAAGTTGAATTTCCTGTCATTTATTTATCATCCACGCACGAACTTGTCTCAGAAAAAAATATATCTCTGTACATTAACCTCAGTTTCAGGTAAAGAGATATGTTGTTTTTTTCTGAGACAAGTGCTTTTGACCATCCTCAAGAACTTGTGGTCATCCGATGTTCAGTACTTCAGTACTTTGATTAAGGCATATAAATTTGGCAATACTTCTTGTAATTTTGTTCGGTAAAATATAGTATTGTGTAAGCAAGATAAACTTATTTTCAACAAAATTCAATTAAAACAATTTCTAAGATACCAAATAAAGTAATTTTGATATTCAATGGCAGTTCATTATTTGTCATTTCAAAAATTTAATTGTTAAGTGCATGCCAGAGACGACATGGAGACCATATGACAACTAAAAAACAAATGTTCTATGATCTCTTGTTCTTTGCAGAATTTTAGAAAATGCATACATTTTATTCATTAGATTAGATAACATATTCTCATCTGGACTAGGGATAGACAAAACCGATGATTTAATTTAGGTATGGCCAAAATTTTCAAAAAAGTAGTCTTTCCAAAGGGATGATATACTGTTTTGACCACTTTTTTAAAATGTTGTCTTTAAAATCTAATACTGGCCTATAATCTAAAAATGAAAGAAGAATGTGTCTGAGGACACGAATGCCCCCGCTCAAGCTTGCTCACAATATGTTAAATGGGACGGACGGAAAGAAGGAAGGTCACGGGTAACACTTAATGCCCCTTCGCTTTGCGGCGAGGGCATACAATCATTTTATCAAGATCAACTGAAAACGTAATTCCAAGGAGTTTAAATGTAGTGGCCCAATCTGATTAAAATTCAGACTTATATTTACTGTCCTGGTCGTACACATAAGCTTATGAGGATAACGAAATCAGAGGTCTATATTTTAATTAGATTGGTAGTGGCCATGGAGCCCATTTCAACCCCCACATAACACAAGTGTGATCTTGGCTATATTTTGTTTACTACCTATCCAAACAAGAATGTACAAGTTTGTATTAATCTGTCTCCTTCAAAGATAGCACTATGATTTATATGTTTATCCCGCGAACAGTAATCTTAAAAGCATAAAAAGTGTTTTAGTCGCGGAACAGTCAAGTCTTGACCAGCAATTTTCCAAATTTTGCAGTCCGGCAAGGGTCGGGGTTTCAGACCAAATTCCGGTCCGGTCCAGTCCGTGTATCCGTGCGTACCTGTTTTCCCCAGGTGTCCCACACATAACAAAGGTATAAAGTTAAAAATATTGCATCACAAATATCAGTTTAGCGATAAAGGCCTAATTTAAATGTATGCCTATGTGTTTCGTGTGAACCCATATAGCAAAGTAAGTTTTCAAATAAAATACTTCCGCCCGCGGTATGATTGTGTGTTTCGTGCTAACTAAATAAGTTATATTTTGTTATAAGAGGATATAATAACATTTGGCATTTTTTTCTATATTTTAAGTCCCGAGATTTCAGCATCAAATTACGATCTGAGAACGTTAAAGACGTTTGATTCGTTTGTGTTTCTTCCTCGTGAAACTTTGTTAAAACACAAAGTTTGGAGAGAAATATTTATTTATAAAAGATTAAAAGTGCAAATGATTGACAACGACTATCTTTTTCAGCTGTGTTTTTTGGATACTAGTAACATGGATTGAAATAATTATGTCGAACAAGATGAAAACCAATTCAGCCGCCCAAGTATCAGTTATAGCATTATTAATCACATGTATCGGGTGTTACTACTTGTACAGCAAAGTTCTGTCTTCAGGTAATTAATGATTTCTACTTTATTTATTTTATATTGTTTTTAAAAAGCCGATTGGGTAATATAAAACAAGCAACCGCTTTATAATTTATGTCTCGCCTGCGACGAAATTCGCGGAAGGCGAGTCAACGGTGTTGCTTTTCCGGCGAGGACTCGTCGTGGAGTCAACAATTGTTAAGTTTTCTGATGTTTTCTTTAAAGTTGCATACACTCAGTACATATCAGTTTGACGAAGACTATTTCGAGGCTCTGTCCCCTTTTTTTCCAAGGTCATGGTCCAGCGACTTTCAATTATTTAGCAATTTCAATGCTAAGTTTTCTGCTTAAGTTATTTTGATAGGTACTCTACTTGTGATAGATCAATGATATTTTCTATAAAGTTGCATCACTATCAGTAAATATCAGTTGAATGGCTATAAAAATAATGAACTTTGTTATGAATTCCAATGAGGCAAGCTATTCACCAGAGTCCAAATGACGTGGATGAAAGCAAAGATAGGTTACAGTACGGCATTCGACAATAAGCAAGCTATTCACCAGAGTCCAAATGACGTGGATGAAAGCAAAGATAGGTTACAGTACGGCATTCGACAATAAGCCAAACACATACCGTATAGTCAGCCGAGACATGACAAAATGTGAAAGAATTCAAACGAGAAAACTAATGGCCTGATTTATGTACAAAATAATGTCATTATGAATGAAAAACATATATGATATACAGCAACAAACGACAACCACTGAATTACAGGCTCTTGACTTGGGACAGGCACATACAGAATGCGGAATGGACTTGTACTCAATCTACTTTGATTGGTTTATATTTCATTTGATGTTCAATGCATTCAAATTTTTTTTCTTTTTTTGGATTAACACATATTATATGTTGAAGACTGCATGATGCCCCCTAAATGTCTTTTGGTATTTTTTTGTCGCTGGGTGCTATCTCACATTTCCTTTAATGTATCATCATCACCATGTCGCCATTTCATATCTTTTAATATATAAGTTATTTCTCGTTCACAGAGGTTTTATATTATGGAGGGAAAATGTCCTGTACAGAAGAAGTAGAACAAAATAAACATTTACCAATAATTTATGTAATTACTCCGACATACAAACGATTGACTCAGATTCCTGAACTGACAAGACTCGGTAACACTTTGAGAAACGTACCAGCAGTGCATTGGATCGTAGTGGAAGAAGGAGAAGGAACATTAGAGGAAGTCAGATACTTGTTAAATAAGATAGACATAAAGTTTACATACCTATCTGCAACACGGTATAAAAACGCACCAAAAACTCTCAAAGGCATTCATCAAAGGAATAAGGCAATATTTTGGTTGCGGACCAATATCGATATGTCTAAAGATGGCGTGGTTTACTTCGCTGATGATGATAATACATATGATTTGGAACTCTTCACAGAAGTAAGTTACTGACTTTTGGCATAATCACAAAACAAAAAATGTTAGTAATATTGTTGTTAAGCTCACAATGTTAGGAATTGTCCTTTTGGTTGTATAGACATATTGATTAAGAATATCATGTTTTTGTTCAATCTTGGCCATAAAATAAACTGTCGAAATGTATCCAAAGGAACTTGCTTTAAATAAATCATATATAAACAGTAATAGCTGTTCTTTCCTAGAGTTAAATATTTTAGCTTCAAAAGGGAAACTGAACGCAAAAATTTACGACAAAAGGGAGAATTTTTCGTTCCCTAATGTTAATTTTCCTTTTTTTTTACGGTGATGTTACTTTGGCCTCATCTTACGATGTTAATATAACCAAACTCGTTCCCTATGTCCGCGTCTGTAGTGAGGTTTCAATAAACATTATCTATATGTCAATGGTAAATAATTAAGTCAGGGATTTCGTTACCACAAAATACTTAAGCCTTTACTAAATTCTTTCATAGGTACACATATCATATGTACACATATTTGGTTTGGAAGTTTGGTTGTATCTGTAGAAAACTTATTAACAGTGGGATATCATAGGTACACATATTTGGTTTGGAAGTTTGGTTGTATCTGTAGAAAACTTATTAACAGTGGGATATCACATCCCAATTGTTATGGTGATATAACCCGCAAATTTAAATACGAATCATGTAAACTTATCGGTTTTGTTTAATAAACTTATTCTAAAAGGTTATCAATTAAATACTTTAAACATGTGTAACCCCGCCAGATTTTGTAAATGCCTGTCCCAATGATTGCCGTTTGTTGCTGTATTTCATTTTTGTTTTTGTTTTTATTTTTGTTTTTTTTTACATAAATCCGTTTGTTTTCTTGTTTGAATTGTTTTGCATTTGTCATGTCGAGGCCTTTTATAGCTTGTTATACGATATTGGTTTTTCTATAAATGAAGGCCATACGGTGACCTATAGTTTTTAATTGTGACGTCATTTGATCTTTGAAAGTTTTCTCATTTTAATTGGCAATCATACTACTTCTACTTATTTTTATACACGTCTTTTTTTAGATGAGACACACAAAGAAGATTTCAGTATGGCCCGTAGGATTTGTTTCTAAAAAAAAATACCAGACACCAATCCTCGAAAATGGGAAGGTTTGTTTTTTGTGTGGAATAAGACAGATAATGCAGGAAAAAACAGTAACTCTTATTCATGCGATTAAGTAAACCAGCTTATATAGACATACACATAGACGTAGTTATGTATATTTTGATTCAGCATATACACCATATTGAAGCATTTAACCTAACATAACAGTATGTATGAGATTTTGTTTATGTCTTTATAAATGTTTGAAGGGTGTCCGCTGTATGCAAAACAAAAACAAAAAACTACGGATCGACAACGCCATGACGCACGCTTTTTTTTTTTTTTTATCTTTTTGGTGCTTTTGGGGGTAAAACTGGGTATGTTAATCTGCAGCATAGCTTTAATTATTGTTCTGAATGAGGGTTACAAATAAATACTGCACTCAAAGCTCAAGTAGTTGCAATTTGACATCACCACTTACTAAGACTGCTTCTCACAAGCATCATTGGGTGAATGGCACTGACTTCTAACAAGCATCATTTGGTGAATGAAATTGACTTCCGTTAAGCATCATTGGGTGAATGGCATTGACTTCTGACAAGCATCATTGGGTGAATGACACTGACTTCTAACAAGCATCATTGGGTGAATGGCATTGACTTCTAACAAGCATCATTGGTTGAATGACGTTGACTTCTAACAAGCGTCATCGGGTGAATGGCACTGACTTCTAACAAGCATTATTGGGTGAATAGCACTGACTTCTAACAAGCATCATCGGGTGATAATTGGGTGAATGGCATTGACTTTTAACAAGCATCATTGAGCGAATGGCATTGACTTCTAACACGCATCATTGGGTGAATGGCACTGACTTCTAACAAGCATCATTGGGTGAATGGCACTGACTTCCAACAAGCATCATTGGGTGAATGGCAATGACTTCTAACAAGCATCATTGGGTGAATGGCATTGACTAAAAAGCATCATTGGGTGAATGGCATTGACTTCAAACAAGCATCATTAGGTGAATGGAATTGACTTCTAACAAGCAATTTTGGGTGAATGGCATTGACAGAATTTAATTTTTTTATATAAGGTTTTTCTTTTAATTCTTTCTGGGAGCAACACATGATAAACATTGCCCATTGGTCAATTCTTGGCGCATCTGGTTACGTGTTTGTTCGTTTGTATGTGTGAATGTGTGTTTAATAAAAAGTCAAAGATCGCATATGACATTAAAAAAGATAAATAGATAGAATGAGCTTATAATGTATAACACAATATAATTTCAGGTGGTAAAATTTGATGCATGGAATACAAAAAATCGAAAGTTTCCGATAGATATGGCTGGATTCGCATTAAATACCAAGACGTTTTATTTCAATGATGATTTGTACTTTCGGACAACATTTCAAAAAGGTTACCAAGAGTCATCATTTCTAGAAATTTGTTGCACATTAGACGACTTGGAGCCAAAGGCCAATGAATGCACGAAGGTATAAACAGAATGAACTAGATTAGTCAAAGTGCAAGATTTTTTGTTTTCATTGAAAAAGTTAAAAATTTTATACCAAGGGACAATGACACTCGAAGGATATCATCGTCATGTCCAAAAAAAATGCGAACAACCAATCAGTTGTCCTCAAAACTTAACGCAGAAAACTTAGATTTGAGCAACATGAATCCTTATAAACCGGCGTGAACTCAGATGCTCCAGAAATATAAGCGATTCCTGTCCAACTAGTAACACCATTCGTGTTTCTCATGGAAAGTAAAAAATAGGCGACGAGTCGCATTCGTTTGCAATTGATTCATATACGAAAAGTATGACTGGACTGCTACCAACTGAACATATCCATGGCCATATTTTTCGCACATATCCTGAAATTACATAAATTAACAACTATAAGTCACTCTACGGCCTTCAACAATGAGCAAAGCCCATACCGCAAAGTCAGCTATATGTGGCGGGGTTAAACATGTTAAGCGGGCGCCCAACCCTCCCCCTAACCTGGGACAGAGGTGCAACAACACAACACAAGAACAAACTGAACAAAACAATGAACAAATAAAAAATCTGATATACAGAAACGAAAACAGGTTCCTGACTTGGGACAGGCACATACAGAATGTGGCGGGGTTTAACATGTTAGCGGGCGCCCAACCCTCCCCCTACTGGTGTAACAGTACAACATATGAACAAACTATAAAAATCTTTTATATTCAGTTCTTACAGCCCAGATTATTCATTTTCAAAATCCTCACCCACAACAGAAAATTAAAGTGTGTCTGTCCCCTAACGGTCAACTAAGTCAGGATGGCATCCCATGGCAAGGAATAATCACAATAACAGGGGTTTTTTGTATGATGTGAATACTTTATTGCAGAAAGCATTAACTATGATATATCATATATCAACGAAAACGTATTTACAACATGACATTGTATGTGCTCTTCTGAGGTCCTGATTTGTAGTATTAATTTATTTGTAATTGTAGGTACTTGTATGGCACACAAAAACGAAGGACCCACTAGTTTATCGTGCAAGTTACAATGCTACAAAGTCAGACACTGATAGCAAAGGGACTTTAAGGGAATAGGAAGGGTTGGAAATCAGTATTGTCAGTGTTTTGATTTGTGTTAACATGTTACATTTAAAATAAAGAATTTAATGCGTACAGTCAATATTGTAAACATTAAGGTGAGTAAACGATGCACAATAAAGCAGGAAAATACAGAGGAGGCAACCAAGAGTCATAGGTCAAAACACTACACAGAAAACAAACATTAGCAAAAAAAAAAATCACAGAAGGGTGTACTTAGGTGTCCGGAATGGGAAACACTTCTTGTTTAATCAGTAGCACTCAATGCGTTGATCACGACAGGTAAAATTCTGAAGATAAATCGCATTCGGTGATGTTATACACGAAGAACATTCGTATGTGATTGTTGAAAATTTGATTGTGGGCGACTACAATCAATGTAACATATCCGTTATTATCTTTGAAACAGCCAAATCAGGGAGGCATCCGTAAATCATTTAAAGGGGCATTAGCTGTCAAATTCATGTCCACCGTTTAGACTCAAATTCTCATATTTGATTTATAACATACTAAAACCTGGGAACAGTATGTCAATATATATGTTCCTGCTAAAACGTATATCCAAATTACAATAAGTCTGAAATAAACAATTAACAATGCACGGACTCGAAAATATATATCAGCATTTCGTGTGTATTTTAGTCTAGACGCCATCTAATTAACCATCGAGATGACCTCCGAAGACTGCCGACGGTCACATAATCCGATATAAACATAAACATAAACATAAATGGATAGCGACCTCGTGCAAATGGACTTTTCTAGGACTGTTTGATTTCATGAAATAGGTTTAAAAAAACAAGTTAATCATCGTTTTTACCTGTATAAGAATGATTTTTTGTGGATCGAATCAGTCAACGAAATGGTTCATCCTTGTTTCACTTTCAATGTTAACATTCTTTTCCTTTTAATGGCTGAACACGACTAATACATGCGTAACCAATCTCTAGCTACATGAATACGGATTCAATGAGGTCGAGTTATTCACTTGCAAGTGAATAATTTATCAGCGATGTTTCTTAGCTTATTTTGACAAAGTTGAACGAAACTGGCTGCTAAAAGCGAATTATTATTTCACTATTTCACTTTCATTAATGATTGAACAAACAAACAAAAAATTATTTATTTTTTTTTATATCTCGTGGCGAATGCCCCATTAAAGGCTTGATTTTAACTGAACGTAAAGAACCATGTGTTCAATAGCTTCATTGTAAGCAATTACCATATATTAAGGAATGAACTAAAAGATAAAACAAAATCATGCTGGAAAGTTACTGAACGTCGACAATAGGAGAAATGAAGTTGAGTACCCGACCAACAATCACTGTCAATTTCTAGATAGAATACAACAATAAGAAGAAGTGGTATGATTGCCAATGAGACAACTCTCCACAAGAGACTAAATGACGTAGAATTTAAAAACTATAGATCCGTGCGGCCTTCAACAATGAGCAATTATGCATAGTAAGTCATACAATGCCCCGACATGACAAATGTAAAACTATTTAAACTAAAAACTATAACGGCCGGATTTATGTACAAAACGATAAACGAAAAACAAATATAAAATACAACAACTAACGACAACCTCTGAGTCACAGGCTTTTAACTTGGGATTAATTGATTTTTGGTGTTTTAACGTCACTTTCGGCACTGCTGACTAGTTCGTGGCGGCCAGTTTTTATTGATAAAGGAAGCCGGAGTTCCAGGAGAGAACCACCGACCTTCGGTAAGAAAACTGACTATCCTAGTCAATTAAGATTGGAGTCGAGCGCATCTGCCGCGTGAACTAACCTCAGTGTTGACAGGCTAGTGGTACAGTAGTTGAACTACTTAGACTACTCGGCAACCGAAGCCCCCTCTTGATTTGGGACAGGTCAAACAGAATGTGGCGGGGTTATACATCGCCAAACCCTCCCCTAACCCGGAACAGTGGTGTAACAGTACAACATAAGAACAAACTATAAAAATCAGTTGAAAAGGGCTTAATTCATCAGATTGATACAAAGCACACAAAATAGAAACTGACAAAAACAGTAAAGACACAAAGTACAGATATGAGAGTACTCGCAGTTACTGAAAACTAGTTCAAAGACAATAATAACTAATAAAATCCTGTATCTTAGACTAAAATAAGTCAAGATACGAAGCTGACCCGGTTGACTTTTTATATCCTTAGCGAATTGGGTATTACTGGCAGCTTTTTGTCTTCGTTAAAATGTATTAAGACTACAAGCAATTTAGAGTTGGCATATTGTATTAATTTTTTATTGTTGAGGACGTATATTTTTATTATGTTCATGTGTATATACGAGTACAAACTGGTGGTTGTTTTGTATATTGTTAGCATACATACAGTTCATGGGATATAATACTGGTGTAATATAGCAAGACTTAATGTCGTTATTTTTATGTGATAACTTTATTGTTATCTTATCCATTGACTAATCGAATACAAGTGATTTTTTTCATACGTATATGCTTCGTTCCATTGGCTGATATAGTTGAGCGAGTGGTTTTGTCTCAGGTTTTATGGCCTCTCCTTTTTTGAACTTTCCTTGGATTTCGATCCTTTATACATAACATGGTGATTTTCCCTTTGACATCACTTAGCCGATATACATCAATAGTTTAGTATGACTGTTGTTTGATTCTCCAATGTAGAATGTGAAGTGGTTTTTTTTAAAGATAAATATTAAGTTAATACTATAAGCTCTGTAGAAAATAAGATGTTAGTTTAAACATATTTTATTTGCTTAAATATGCAAACGGGATGAGACACAAGTTAATCAAACTTATAAAGTCTTCTCCCATGAACAATTTATAACAATAGAATATTTACAAAGCATGCATGCAAACAACACATTATATATATTGGATATGTAAAAAGATGATGTGTGATGATGTGAATGGTTGTACACAATATACATGTATATGCACTTACATTCTTTAAAATTCTTTCATTTTCATCATTAGTTAATGACGAATCACCGGAGGTTAAGATGTCCAAATTTAGTGGAGAGTTCTCTGGTAACCAGTTCAGATTATAAGATAGTTTGATTCTTATATTCGCATAATAAGGACATTAAAAAAAGAAGTGATATGAATCTTCACGCTTAGCACCACAGCTACAAGACGAATCTGAAATGATATTGACTCTGTTAAGATCATTATTCAAAAAAGAGGCGAGCATCTAAGTTGAGTCAAAATGATGTTGAGTTTACGATTGCCAAATTCATAATGTTTAGGTACTTGGGCTTTTGAATTCAGTTTCAGATTTTTTAATTCGGTTTTAAATTTACCTAAAGAGTCAATGTTGCGGGTCATCACATTAAGATTATTCCACAGTCGTATAGTTGAAGGTATGAAGGATTCTTGGGTCAATGAAAGTCTACAAAAAGGGTAAACAGCTGTACTTTGGATTGTTGGTGGAATTAAATTGCAAAGATAGGCTGGTGCATTATTATGTTGAATATTATAAAATAATTGTAACTTCCTCCTTTCTCTTCGTTCAGCTAGAGTTTCCCAATCAATCTCATCATAAATAATTATAATTAAGATGTTCAGTTCGATAAGATAGTAACCACAAAAACTGCGATAAACATTGTTTTATATAAACAGTTTGGTGTGGAATATTTCAAAATACTAAATTGCGGATGTCCATAATCTCAGAGCACTTGATTGTTCCAAGTACATGTGTCTTTCAATGCACATATGTACCAGCAAAGAATTTGGCTCAAACCGGTGCTAAGTGAAGTTTTGATCTGACGATTTGTTAGATGTTTGTTTGTATTGAAATCCTCGCTGTAACTTCGAATGGATAAACAGTAATGAACACTTTTCCATTACCTCTTTGGTTTTATCAAGTGTGTAAAAAATCAAAGAAAATGTAATCATGATGGAAAAGAAAATTTTTCAGACATTTTAGATTTTACATTTTCAACCAGGCAGAAAGTACCTTGATAAAGGCCTACAACTTAGAAAATCAGAAAATTAGTTAAATAGATAGCAAAATTATCTCCCCTTGACCACTGACCCTTTCCTCGTGCATTTGAACTATTATTTTATGTTTCTTTAATCACTCTGTAATGTTTATGTCGTGTTGTTATTAATGTTATGCACTTAATGGGCCCTTTAATTTGGAAAATAAAATATTGTATACTGAAAGTACCGATGTAAGCTAATAGCATTATTGGTTAACATATAAATAAAAGGGGATGTGGATATATGTCAACGAGACAGAAACGTCACCTATAAAAAAGAACTACAAGACTACCTTGTACACACAAAAAAACACCAAAAACAATGTTCTCCTGTTTGGCCAGTTTAAACGAAGCACACCCATCGTGCGCATGTCCGAGGAATATCGGTCGTCGCTGCCTGTTCATTAAGTTGTCGATTGGGAATCTAGATTTGGTTACAGATTTTGGTCTATTCTGTAACACATTTGTTTATTGTCTAAATTCGGGATGATTTGGAGCTTGTAACAGGGTGATTTTGATATGTGCTCTAATTGCGGAATTTTCGGTTTTCTATGCATTCAAGTTGGTCTTTGAAGCATTCCAACAATTTTGATTCGAGCGTCACTAATGAATCTTGTGTAGACGAAACGCGCGTCTTGCGTACCAAATTGTAAGTATGGTTCCTTTAATGAGTTTCACAACCATTGGATCATACCCCTACTGGTGGACGTTTCGTCTTTTCTTTTCTTTCTTTAATGTTCCCCCGCGCAACGCGTTGCGGAGGACATAGAAATACCGGGCGTCCGTCTGTCCGTCTGGTCTCAGGTTTATAATTCTTGTCAAATCTTTATGAAACTTATATCATAGGTTTATATAAGTTCGAAATTCAGTGCCGACCAAATGTATTTAAAAGAGTTATGCCCTTAGAAAAATATCCATAATATGGAAAATTGCATTGTAAGCGCTCTCACGTGTACAATTCTTAATAAATTTTTATCAAATTTAAATCAAAGGTTAATATTAGCAAAGTTTCGGACGAATTCGAAAATCAGTGCCAGTTGACTATATCTAAAAGAGTTATGCTCCTTGGAAATATTAATTATATGGGAAATT